GAGAGAGAGAGAGAGAGAGAATGTGTTAGAGAGGATATTCATATTATTAATTGGAGTATTTTATTTTACTACTCCTATTATCTAACAGATAAAGTTCTAATTCTTTACTCAAAATGTAAGGTTGGCTGGAATTTTGTGTCTTCACTTAAAAGTATTTACTGAGATTCCCCAAACACACCTTGCACTTCATTGCCTTGATATCTTGATTAATTCCTTGCTCTTATCTCAAATGCCCTTATTGAAAACATGCACTTAAACTCAAAATTTTTTATGTAAACAGGGTTTTCATTTTAGACATTTATCTGAAATCAAAATATTCCTAGAATATCCGGGCCTGAGGATACAGAGGACAAATTAACAATCTTCCTACATGCTCTTATCCTTAATCTGCTCCTTCCCACAGGCTTCACCTTCCTTCAATGTCCCTTTCTACCCCCACCAGGATTTTCTGGAAAAACCTGCAGCAGCAGGACACACCTCAGTTATCTCTCAGTTTCTCTTCCTCACCAGTTTCCATAACCCCTACCTCGTGCCCCACTTCAGTCACCTGGGGCCTGCCTGCATCTCCACCAGCCTCCACGGCCCTACCAAATGGCATGTGCCGCAGAAAGCCAGGCCCTCTCCCCTGGACGCACTGTGCAGCCAAGCCATCACCCCACTCCCTGACTCTGGCTTCTCCTGCAGAGAGAAGATATTTATCCAGACTTGGATAAATGGCTTCCCTGTGGGGTGTGGGCGCTGGCTTCTAAAGAGGCCAACAGAAACCCAGATACAAAGCAAACTTTGACCTACAAGAACAGGCAGAAAGGAACCAGACTTAATTAAATTCTTTCTTCTCCCTCAGTGGACTATTCTAAGGCATGGTCTTTCTGCACAGACTATCCGAAGATATCCTGTGTGAACTAGTGGTCAGCCCTGTCCAGCAGTGTGCAAAATTTGGGGCATTCTGTTGTGAAGCAGCAACCAGAATGATATTGTCATCCTTCCCTTCCGTATGTATTTCCCCTGTCCATTCTCTGTCTTGGGCTAAAACAGCTGCATTCCTCTTTGTTTCCAACCCTATTTCTAGGGGAACTGAGGTAGCCCTGTCTACAGTCTTACACCACTACCTGTCCAGGGTCTGAAGCAGAGTCACCAAAAAATTTCCCCCAGCTCTCACTCCTGGGCATTCCCTTCTCTGCTCAAAGAGTTCTCTCAGGGTGCCTCTGTGGCCTTGACTGCCATTGTCCTCTCTGAGGATTCAAGGTCTACACTGATCTTTCCCCTTCAGTGCTCCCAAGGCTCTTAATCCTTCAAGTGCCAGAGCAGTCGCTGCATTTCCTGCAGGTGGCGACTGAGGCCCTGCCCCTGCAGCACTCCTGCATTGTGAGCAGCCCTGTCTGCCCGCCCGGCTCCAGAATGCAAAAGTCTCTTAAGAAAGCAAATCCTCTCCGCAACTCCAGTGGCTGAGGCAAATTCAAGGCCAGCCTCAGCAACTTAGGAAGACTCTATCTCAACAATATTCTAAAAGGGGGTGGGGGGCAGGGAATGTAGCTGAGTAGTACAGAGCCTCTGGGTTCCACCCCCAGTCCCTCACCCCCCCAATGAAAAAAGAAAGCAGATCCTTCTACGCGTGCCACTACTGTCTCCCCTGGTGGAGGTCCAAACCACAAATCCAGGAGCTTCAGAAGACCCACAGCTCCTCTTGTCTCCATCATCCTCCCCCTTCTAATGTTACTTTAGGCATACACTGGAATCAGAATCCAAAGATCCTCCTAACCCTCTCATAGTCTACCAAACAAGCATGGATGACCTTTATCAAGGGTCCTGAGGTTGCATCTTGGATACAGATCTAGATAGACACACCATCATAAAATAGACTTCTTTTACCTCTGAACACTGCAGAAAACTAAAGAAAGAAAGAAGAACTTAGAAGATGGAAAGATCTCCCATGCTCTTGGATAGGCAGAATTAACATTGTCAAAATGGCCATATTGCCAAAAGCATTTTACAGATTTAATGGAATACCTATTAAAATCCCTATGATGTTTTTTAAAAGTCAATTAAAAACATTTTTTAAACAAATAACACACTGAAAAAAATCCCAGTGATGTTCTTCATAGAAATAGAAAAAGCAAACATGAAATTCATTTGGAAAAATAAGAGCCCCAGAATAACCAAAACAATCCTTAGTAAGAAAAGAGAAGCAGGAGGCATCACAATACCAGACCTCAAACTATACTACAGAGCTATGGTAACAAAAATGGCATGGTATTGGCACCAAAATAGACCTGTAGACCAATGATACAGAATAGAGGACACAGAGACAAGTCCATATAAATATAGTTATCTTATAGTAGACAAAGGCACCAAAAACATACATTGGAGAAAAGATAGCCTCTTCAATTAATGGCGCTGGAAAAACCGGTAATCCATATGAAGCAAAATGAAATTAAACCCTTATCTCTCATCCTGCACAAAAAAATCAACCCAAAGTGGGTCAAGGACTTACGCACTATTAACAGAGACCCTGTGCCTACCAGAAGAAAAAGTAGTCCCAAATTTCCACCATGTCAGCTTACAAACTGACTTTCTTTACAATTCCTAAAGCACTGGAAGTAAAACCAAGAATCAATAAATAAACTAAAAAGTTTCTTCATAGCAAAGGAAACAATAATGTGAAGAGAATCTACAGAATGGGAGAAAATCTTTACCATGTGCACCTCAGGTAGAGCATTAATCTCCAGGATATATAAGAACTCAAAAAACTTAACACCAGAAAAAAAAAAAATCAATAAATGGGCTAAGGAAAGGACACTTCACAGAAGATGAAATAAAATCAATCAACAAATGTAGGAAAAAATGTTCAACCTCTCTAGCAATTAGAGAAATGAAAATTAAAACTACACTGAGATTTCATCTCACTCTAGTCAGAATGGCAATTATCCAGAACACAAGCAACAATAAATGTTGGTGAGGATGCAAGGGGAAAGGTACACTTGTATATGGCTGGTGGGACTGCAAATTGGTACAACCACTCTGGA